TTCCAAATGGCGATCTGTCTGTGTCCGAAAGTCCCACAAGATCTTCACCCTCTCATGCTTGATAACTTTCTCCACCCTATGTTCCCACGACTTTTCGGACACAGGCAAGTCGTATTTTTTACACAATGCCCAGTGGATTAATTTAGCAACTTGGTCATTATTATTATTATTATTATTATTATTATTATTATTATTATTATTATTATTATTATTATTATTATTATTATTATTATTATTTAAAAAGCACCCTTGATTTACAAACGCAGTCACCCTTTCTACGCCCCTGCCCCCCCATTATAAAATTAAACAAAGGTACAAGCACAGGCTGCAATGGTGAGCACACGCTTGGCTTAAGGCCAGCTTCTTTGACGTCATCCAAATTTCTGTGTCATGTTAGAAAGAAAACACAACACGCATGCAAGCCAGCGACCGTATTTGTAACCCAACCCAACCCAACCCAACTGATCAGTTCCTGAAGGCCCCCCAAGCTGTGCAGAACCTCTTCGGGGGTGGGGGGGGGCAGATCCCACCCCCCCACCCCCCTCTGAGAAAACCAAGTTAAGTCAAAAGCCTTGCGCAGAACAGGCCTGCCGTTGCGTTAAACCGAAAAACCACACACCCAGACGTGCTGAGAAAAGAATATCACGGTGTTTTATTCGCGGGCCGAGTTTTTCCATGCTGAGAACAGACCCCTCCCAAATTTGCCGTGCCGAACATCAGCCCACTGAAAAAAAGAAGAAGAAAAAAAAAACACAACCAAACGAAACACATCCCCTGGGTTTTGAAGTGCCAGTCAGTCCTTTCGTATCTTTTGTGCAGTGTCTCTTTGCGGGAGAGGTTCCCACGAAGCCAACGCAAAGACTGAACACGGATCAGCTGCCAGAAAGAAATCTGGAAACACTTGGGGGCAACAACGGCTGGAGGGGGCCGGAACATGTGTTCGCATAACGAGCGCATGAGAGCCGAGCAATTAGGAAAAGATGTTCTAATAATTAACCAGTCAGCAAACAAGCGCTGGATTCAGTCAGATCCTCCAGCATGTGTCCCTGCGATGCTGTAGGTCAATACGCAAGTGGGATTGTTCAAAACGCTCGCTGGAAATTTTCGGAGGGCGGCTGCGAAAACGTTTTTTTCCCCGCGAACCCCCAAATTCCAGAGGATTTGATCCCGCGCAGCTTAAAAGCCGCTTCTTCTTCCTAAGAATCTCGTTATTTGCTACATGGCTGCTTTTCAACACTGTGGCTATCCTTTCATTGATTACAAAAAGAGAGAGAGAGAGAGCCAGAGAAGACATAGTATAAAATGCCTGAACAACTTAAATATTATTTATAGATAAGATATTTTTTTTTTAAAAAAAAAAAGCTTAGTAAAAAATATAGATTTGTCCAAACCAAAGAGAATGCTCTGATACGGTGGGAAGTGGCAAGGGGCACCCCAAAAGTATCCCAGTCCCTTAATAAAATTGAAAAAGGCTTGTTCTGCATTTTAACACTTGCATCGTTCAGTTTTGAACTGAGCCATTGTGCGTTTAAAACTGAATTTTTCAGTTTTCGTGCGTGGTGCAGTCTTTGGTTAACGTTCAAAATGGTTCCGCAGTTCCATCTTGAACCACGTTTATACCCTGTAAGGAGGATTTGAAGAAGTGTGTGTGTGTGTGTTGGTGGGGGGCTTTACACACAGAGTGCCTCACGTTTATTGTCTGGCACACCCAGCTCACACTTTGCAGGGAAAACAACATTGGAAGGTTGACACTGATAGTCAAAAATCCCACATCTGTCTGTCTTTAAAATAGGATTTAAAGCAGCGTTTTTCCACCGTGCCAACTTGAAGACGGGTGGACTTCATCTCCCAGAATTCTCCAGCCCGCCATAGCTGGTTGGGGAATTCTGGGAGTTGAAGTCCAACACATCTTCAAGTTGCTACAGTTGAGAAACATTGCTTTAAAACATCAGCTCCAAATATGTACGTACACACACACACACACACACACACACACACACCTGGCAATTAGCCAAGGGTTCAAATCCACACGACTGAAGCTTTGCAAACTTAAGAGACCTGCCCTCAGCTTATCCACCTCGCAAATCTCTTGGGCCAATGTCATTTAAGTGGGATTTTCAACTACGAGTAACAAAAACCTGTGGAATAAATTCTACACCAGCCTAGAATTGCACTCCAGGAATTGCAAAACAGGAAAAAAAAAAAACAACGAGAAGCCACTTGGAAGGGATTAAAATCAATGCCTTTCCTTCCTGTTGCCTAGGGCTGGACTAGATGACCCTCGTGGGCCCCACAATTCTAAGATTCTGTGGATTCAAGAATCAAGCACATGGGCATAATCCAGAGATCCTCTTGCCTTTCCTTACAACTTTTCCAACACTTTCCCTTCGTCTCACTTCGTCACGCCCTTTTAACAACCTCCAGCCACGTCCTCCTCGCTTATCCCCGCCGATGTCCAGCCTTATGGAAATCCCAACTATTAATGCGTTCATCGCAAGAAATCACGCATTCCAGCAATGCAGCACAGGCTTAGCTCTTTCACTGTGGATTCCCTGCAAGAATAACCTTGGATTTTTGAACTGCAGTCGCTGCAAACGGCCGTGCCGATTTTGCCAATGGCCCAGCTCTGTGGGTCTTGCTCAGAATCTAAGGATCGTCATTTCAAATCTAGCCCTTTTGCTGAATCTATCTTTGGGGGCCGGGGGTTTAAATCTCAATTTGGAAACCACGGTTTAAACCCTTGAAAACAAGCCTTTTTCAATGATGGCAGAGGAGGGACTGAAGCAGGTAACTGTAAAAACCGGATATTCAAAAGGTACTGCTTGCTCTAATAGTGAGTTGTATAAATGAGGTTTCTTGATCTTGGCCACTTGAAGACGTGTGGACTTCAACTCCCAGAATTCTGGGAGTTGAAGTCCACCCGTCTTCAAGTGGCCAAGGCAAAAACCCAGCAGCGGGTACCCCCTTGTCCAGCATCCCCAACACCTTAAAATTGCATTTTTTTCCCCTTCTGCTTTGAACCATCTCCTTGTGCTACGCAGCAATACAGTATATCAATTCTTCAGCCTTATTTGTATTTTTGTTTTGTTTTTTAAAAAAGAAAGCAATGCCATTAATGAGATAAATCTAAAATACTGCAGGGGTCCCAGATCAAGGGAGAGGTTTGGGGCAACCTGACCTCGCACGGGGGCGAGGCACTTATGGGGTGGACTAAGATCCCAGTGGGGCCAGTTCTACTTTTCTTGGAGAGGAGAAATTTCCCACGTGTTTCGTTCGCAAAGTAATTTTACAAAAAGACCGGGCGGCAGCTAACCTTTATCAAATAGTAGCTGGGTCGGTCCTCTTTATCAAATAAATGCCTTACTGGAATCCAAGTAAATTGGACAAAATTGGACTAAATATAGTCCAAGGTAGAGTGAGCTATACTCAGCGACAGTTTTATCTTTGCAGTTAACTGTGGAAAGGACACCAAGACGCGAGTCACACATTACATGGTGAGAAAGTTAGCCTGCTTTTCATGACCTTATTGGGAAGGCAGTGATGGGTAAGCTCCTGACTTACTACATATCCCATGTGTCATTACTACTGATCCCATTCTGAAGTCCTTGGTCATGCTTGTGTCTTCAAAGCTAACATTTCAAGACCTCGAAGTAAGCTTTCCAATGTGTCAGAAGCTCCATTCTCAGCTCAAGCCCTTTTTAAAACGGTGAGATATTTTCTGCACAAGATTTGTTCCAAGCTCCTTATAGGAACTTTACTCCTCAGCTACTCCACAGCCAGCTGAGCCCCATCGCCATGGCTCAAAGCGTCACAAACTCATCTCTTCCCCTTTGGAGCTCAAATGTTAGCATCTGCGCTCCCTGCTTTTTATCCGACCCAAGTAGTCCTCAAATTACAACCACAGTTGAGATCAGAATCTTCGCTGTTAAACAAAGGCAGTGAGTCAAGCCCAATTTTACAATTTTTTCCCACCGCTGCTGTTAAGCAAATCACGGTCGTTGCTAAGCGAATCGGGTGGTCGTTAAGCAAATCCCATTGATTTTGCTAGTCAGAAATTGGCGGGAAGATCACAAGCAGCGATCAGGTGATCCCGGGATGCTGCAACTGTCGTAAAAGACGGTTGCCAAGCGCCCAAATTGCGATCACGTGACTGTGGGGACTGCTACGACGGTTGTAACTGCGAGGACCAGCCGCGAGTCACTTTTTCTCAGTGCCGTTGTAATGGTCACTAAAAGAATGGATGTAAGCTGAGGACTACCTGTACAGCTGCATTCCAGTCTCCTCTCCAATTAATACTACCGTGTTTCCCTGAAAAATAAGACCGGGCCTTATATTAATTTTTGCTCCAAAAGACGCATTAGGCCTTATTTTTCCGGTTAGGGCTTATATTTGGGGAAATACGGCACTAAATGCGTCAGTTCTGGCTCAGGGGTAGGCAACCTTGGCTCTTTTATGACTCGTGGACTTCAACTCCCAGAATTCCTGAGCCAGCCATGCTGAGGGAAAAGGGAGAAGTTTCCAAGCTGAGCCATGCTGGCTCAGGAATTCTGGGAGTTGAAGTCCACGAGTCATGAGGGGGCCATAGTTCCCCCATGCTGGCTCAGGAATTCTGGGAGTTGAAGTCCACGAGTCATGAGGGGACCATAGTTCCCCCATGCTGGTTCAGGAATTCTGGGAGTTGAAGTCCACGAGTCATAAAAGAGCCAAGGTTGCCTACCCCTGGTCTGGCTCATGATCCTAATTGGGGCTTATTTTTGGGGTGGTGCTCATATTACGAGCATCCTGAAAAATCATGCTAGGTCTTATTTTCCCGGTTAAGTCTCATTTTCGGGAAAACACGGTAGATTCACTGTCATAGCTTTGCCCAAGGAATCCTGGGAAACCGAACGGGAAGCGTGCCGAGCAGGCCAATCCAACTCGAATTTCCCAGCATCCTAGAGAAGAGATGACAGCGGCCCCATTTTGGGGGGCTGCCCCAAACCTCTCCCTAAATGAAACGTTTACCCAGTGATACAAGCGCTGTAATAAACAGCGCTGCTGGCATCGGACAAGGCTGAGATCAGGCTGTTGTCCTCACAGCTCCGGGGAGTCACTTTGGACACGGAAACATGATAGGCGAAACCGGACGGATCCGGACGAGTCCTGCTCATATTCAAATACTGGTCAAACTCGTTGCGGTCCACTTCTGTCCACAGCTCGTGGGGGTTCAAGTGCTCCACGCCCTCCAGCTGGTGGGACTCAGGAGGAGGGGACAGTTGGCCCAGGTGGGCCGACAGCCCGTTGGCGGCTCCCGCGGCACAGATCTGGTTGTAGTACATCCCAGACAGCTGGGGAGTCCTCATGGCTTCGGCCAGGTGGGAGGGTGGGTTGGGAGGGTACCCCATGACCATGTTCCTCCCCAGGTTTTTCTCCGGGGAAAACTCCATCGGCGGTGGAGGAGGAGGAGGAGGAGCAGGGTGGTGGTAACCTCGAAAGGACATGACGTTGCAGTCGTCCTGCATGTGGGGCGGGAAAAAGGCGGGCTCCGCCTGTTCGAGGACGTCCAGAGGGGACATTTCGGGAGTCGGCAGGCCGTAGTTCTCCATCTCTGACCCCATCGAGCGCAGTTCTCGGAAGTGGTTCAGTGGGGGAGGCTGGGAGTGGCCGAGGCCGCCGGCGCCGGTGCTGCGGTGGCCCATGGCAAAATTCTCGCCGCAGGACTGGGGCAAGTTGTGGAGAAGGATGCTCGGTTCCATCCTCTTGATTTTCTTGGCCTGCTTCTTCCGGCGGGGACGGTACTTGTAATTGGGGTGGTCCTGCAGATGCTGGATCCTCAGCCTCTCGGCCTCCTCCACGAAGGGGCGCTTGTCGGTGGCGCTCAAGGCTTTCCACGCCTGGCCTGGGAGTCCGAAAGAGAAGAGAGAGGGCGTGGTAAAACATGCGAGGAACGGTTGCAGGGATTGGGTATGTTTAGTTTAATGAAAAGAAGGACCAGGGGGCACATGATAGCTCTCTCCCAATATTTGAGGGGCTGCCACAAAGAAAAGGGAGTCAAGCTGTTCTCCAAAGCACCTGAAGGCAGGACAAGAAATGGAAACTAACCAAGGAGAGAAACAACCTGGAACTAAGGAGAAATTTCCTGACAGTTGTGGACAATTTATAAGAGGAACAGCTTGCCTGCAGAAGTTGTAGGTGCTCCATTGCTGGAGGTTTTTAAGAAGAGACTGGACAGCCACTTGTCTGAAATGGAATAGGGTTTCCTGCTTGAGCAGGGGGGTGGACTAGAAAACCTCTGAGGTCCCTTCCCAACTCTGTTATTCTATTATTCGGAAGATGCTGCCATCCCACTAACAGCCAACAGTTCAGGGCTTTAGCAGATAAAACTGGCCAGGCCGTTTGCACGTGACTGAAGCGTGCAAAGATCCTGCCCCAAAATGGATCAACTGTATTTACATACAGGTAGTCCTCAACGTACGACACAATTGGGAGCAGAATGTCCATTGCTAGGTAAGGTGGTGGTGAAGTAAATTGTGCCCGTAAGTTTATGACCCCCCCTTTTTTTTTGCCACGGTGGTTAAGCAAAGCATTGCGGTTGTTAAAGAGGATCACGTGGTCCTTAAGCAAATTTAGTTTCCCTCGTCAACTTTGCGTGTCGGAAGCAGGCTGGGAAACTCGCATACGGCACACATGACCTTAAGACCCGCAACCGTTGTGAGTACACGACGGCTGCCAAGTGCCCGAATTTTGATCACGTGACCGTTGGGATGCTGCAATGGTTGTTTGCTGCGAGGACCAGTTGTTAAGTCACGTTTGTCAGCGCTGTTGTAGCTTTGAGTGGCCGCTAAACATACATATAGTCAAGGACTCTCTGTATATCACAGGGGTCTTCCAACTTGGCAACTTTAAGGCTTGTGGATGTCAACTCCCAGAATTCCTCAGCCAGCCAGAGCTGGCTGAAGAATTCTGGGAGTTGAAGTCCACAAGTCTTAAAGTAGCCAAGTTGGAAGACCCCTGGTCTAAAGCAGCGTTTCTCAACCTTGGTCACTTTAAGTGTTTAATAATAATAATAATAATAATAATAATAATAATAATAATAATAATAATAATAATAATAATAATAATAATAATAATAATAATAATAATAATAATAATAATAAAGTTGGAAGGGAGCTTGGAGGTCATCTAGTCCAACCTCCTGCTCAGGCAGGAAACCCTATACCATTTCAGACAAATGGCTGTCCAGTCTCTTTTTAAAAACTTCCAGTGTTGGAGCATTTACCACTTCTGGAGGCAGGTTGTTCCACTGGTTAATTGTTCTAACTGTCAGGAAGTTTCTCCTTAGTTCTAGGTTGCTTCTCTCTTTAATCAGTTTCCATCCGTTGTTTCTTGTCCTGGCTGGGGAATTCTGGGAGTTGAAGTCCACAAGTCTTAAAGTTGCCAAGTTTGAAGACCCCTGGTATACCACTTTGAGAAGTAGTTTAAGAGAGTATGTCTAAGCAGGGATGGCTGAAGGGGTGGGGAAGGGTCCCTAAAGTCATGATGGTAGTTGCAACCATGGGGGCAAGTTGTGTTCATTTTAAACATGCAACACGGTTGCAATACATGCAAGAATGGGACAGGGCTGCAATTGTGGAAGGGTGACCCCCCCGCCCCCATCTTGAGGTTTTGGACCCCCATGCCCTCGGCAGGAATCCCCCTGAATCGTGACGCTGAGCTCTGAAGAATTTGTTTGCTTGGTTAAGATTTTGTATCAGGGTCTCTAGCAGATCCAGGGGGTCCTCGATTTACAACAGTTCACTTAGTGACTGAAGTTACAACAGCCCTGGGGGGAAAAAAGTGACATGGACGTTTTTCACACTTAACGACCGTTGCAGCCTCTCCGTGGTTGCGTGATCAATATTCGGGACGCTTGGCAACTGACTCATGTTTATGACGGGTTACACTGTCCCCGGGGTCATGTGATCCCCTTTTGCAACCTTCTGACAAGCAAAGTCAATGGGGCAATCTGGATTCACTTAACAGCCGTGTGACTAACTTAACAACTGCAGTGATTCATTTAACAACGGTGACCAGAGAAGTCATAAAGTGGGGCAAAACTCACTGAGCACATGTCTCCCTTCGTAACAGAAATTTGGGACTCAGTTGTGGTCAATAAGTCGAGGACTTACGGCAAAGTGATAATTTCCCCCAATAAGGATGGATAAAGAGAGGCAGTTTAGTCTAGTGGTTAAGGCACCAGGTGAGAAAGGAGGAGACTGTGAGTTCTAGTCCCGCCTTAGGCATGAAAAGTGGCTGAGTCACTTTGAGCCAATCACCAGGAGACGGTGAGTTCTAGTCCCGCCTTAAGCATGAAAGCTGTTGGGTGACTTTGGGCCAATCACTAGGAGATTGGGAGTTCTAGTCTTGCTTTAGGCATGAAAGCTGCTGGGTGACTTTGGGCCAATCATCAGGAGACGGTGAGTTCTAGTCCCGCCTTAGGCATGAAAGCTGGCTGGATAACTTTGGGCCTATCCCCAGGAGAGTGTGAGTTCTAGTCCCACCTTAGGCGTGAAAGCCAGCTGAGTGACTTTGGACCAATCCCCTGGAGACCGTGAGTTCTAGTCCTGCCTTAGGTATCACAGCCACTTGGATGACTTTGGCCCAATCACCAGGCATTCTAGTCCTGCCTTGCGCATGCAAACCAGTTGGGTGACTTTGGGCCAATTGCCAGGAGACCGTGAGTTCTAGTTCTGCCTTAGGCACAGAAGCTGACTGGATGACTTTGGGCCAGTCATTCTTTCTCAGCCCAACCCACCTCACAGGGGTATTATTGTTGGGAAAATAGGAGAAGGAAGTTGTGTTGGGTATGTCTGTCGTCTTGAGTTATTTATAAAAAGTAATAAAAGATGGGAAACAAATTAAATTACATTAATTTTTTTAAAAAACTGTCCTTATTCTATCACCCCAAATGTTGCATTCAAAAAAACTTACGGTTCTTTCACACAACCGTAAATTGCAAAGTCAGTCAGAGGGGTTTTGCGGATTCTGGAAGGGGCAACTGAATTTTTTTAAAGGTGCACAACTTCCAAATTGTGACTCACTACATGAAAGGGCGCGCTGTTTAGGGAACATTTTCCAGAAACTGTGAGACTGCAATTTGGACCTTTTTCAAACCCTATGAGTGAGCCAAGTTCCACTTTAAAGAGAGAGAGAGAGAGAGAGCAAAAAAAAAAAAAAAGGATACTCTACAGCAAGTTAATTTCACTACAATCCCTTCAAGCATTTAAAGACAAAAAATGGCTCAGAGACAATAAACACTAGAGCGTAAAAATATTTCTTTAAAAAAAAAAGCTCTTAAGTTCATTTTCCATATTGTCTTGGTTAATATCGAAAGCCAAAATTGTGTTGTCTATAGTGGCTACAATGGAGATCCGGTTTAGAAATGGCGCTTCCCCAACAATCGGTCCCATAAAGAGAGCGAAGAGAAGGGATCAAAACGTGGATAAAATTATTTGTAGCATGGGGAACGGAGAATATGTGCACCCCGGATTGTCTAATAACACTAAATAATGGGTTTAATATCTCCTTGCTCTTCACGCTGGAGATATTAAACTGTGAAACTCACGGCCACAAGATAGTTAACAGCCAATAACTTTCAGGAGGATCAAGCTATCAATAGCTGCTAATCATTATGGTGATCTTTATATCTAGGACAAGAGGAAAAATTCTCCCTATTTTGGTTTGCAAGTGCAAATATAGTCCATTTGTTTGAGATTGGGAGAAACGTTCCCAATCCAGAATGGAGCATATAAATTGATAAATAATAGAATTGTTGATATTCAGGCAATATCAACATTTAATAAATTATAGTTGGTTGCAGAATCAGCCGATGTTTTCACTGGATTTGGCCTTTTTATCCCCCGATCCAGCCCTTCCCAAGGACTGGGGATAGGCAGATGTTGTTTGCGGGTGTTAAATAATAATAATTAATAATTATTATTATTAATAATAATTATTAATAATTTAAATGGGACTATATTTAAATAATCTCAATCAATAGAGAACCCAATACCGTTTTAACTCCCACTATGCTTAACCTAGCTAGCCAGTTAAAGATCTATTTGCTGCCATTATGCAACTATGAAGCTTGATTAGACGTAATCGCACACATTTCCCTTTTGTGGCTTAGCCTGTCATATGAAACCAGCCCAGTTGGCTAGTTTATGATCCAATGTGCTGTGTGAACACAGAGGGTAGAGTTAAGAATGTTGTGTGAACACAGCAACTGTTTTGCCTCCAGATACAGAACATTCCTGAGAACCAAAGCAAGGCTTGCATAAATGCTGTTTTCCCTCGAGACATGGAGTACTGATGATGTTACCTAGTTGGGTAATGAAACGTCTGCAAGAAAACAACTAAGCTCAGAGAGTACCAAGGACCCCTCATTTCCACCCTGAGCTATTCTCCTTTATTAGTTCTTGAATCCTAATTGTTTGCTACTTTGTTAAGCATCAAGTACTTGGCAGTTGTTTCCAGATGTGCCATTTCATCATGTCTAAGAATATAAGGGGTTGGAAATCACTTTGGGGAGGGGGGTCATCTAATCATCCCAAATAATGTGGTTAAACTCTAAATACTTGCAAGAATGGAAATCAAGAGCAGTTAGCGTGTAAACGACAGGGTGAACTCAGTTTGCAGTCAAATTCCAGGATTCAGCACATGACCCGGAGAAATTCAAGAGAATTTCTCTTAATTCTAAGTGCCTATCTGGCCTAAGTTTATTTTTTTAAAAAAAAACATTCCAAAGGATTTTGGAATTTCAATTTTAAAAAATAAAATAGACCTCAGTGGTTTGAAATCTCTTCTGTCCTGTCTCAGTTGATTCCCTAGATTATTATAACCTACTTTTTACAAGGATTT